ATGCTGAAGCACGTGACTCCAACAGTCCAACTATACAAAATACTTTAATATATTACTTCCAAAATTCAAATGCTCAATAGGAGTAGGAATTTCACCTAAAATATCACCAATTTCCTCCTTCCTACAGTCAACTGAACTACCTTCCAGAATTCTGCAATCCGCTTGTCCTTTAACTTTCTCTTCCAAGCAACTAGACCACTAGAGCATCTTACACCTTAAACCAAGTATGGATGTTGAATAAGGTTCTTATAAAGAAAATTAACATACAGTATGCAATTTTAGTTGAACCCCCACAGGCACTTATTGAACAACCAATGAAAATACAAAGGGGTCAAATCTGCATTCCTCTCCCTCCACCACTTAATAAGTAAAGAATGGGCGAATGGCACTATGCGAACATTGCACATGGCCAGCATAGAATTCCAAAATCCAAATAACTCCTAAAATTGCTACATGTTAATATTTCTATGATACTAACTCTAACCATTTGTTTGGAAAAGCAAAGTGGAAGGGAAAGGGAAGGGAGGGAAGGAGAAGAAAGAGGAGGGAGAAAATAAGGTTACATTTTCCCTCCAAATCTTTCCAACATTGGAAGGATTAAAAAGGGAGGGAAAATGAAACCTTCTGTTTCCTTTCCCTTCCCTTCCCTCCTACCAAATGTTTCCAAACAATGGAGGATGGATCCCTTCTTTTCTCTTCTCTTCATTTCCATCCAGTTTTCTCAATCCAAACAAAGTGTAAATCTTTGCTCACATACAGCTCCTACACCTCCATCTTTCTCATTAGTTTGCATCTAAAGACTCTTCAATTCAGCACCAGAAGACTGATTATGCTCCAAGGGTTATCTCCTAGATCCCTCAAACTAGCACAGCCTAGCTATTTTTTTTGTATCCAAATCCCAATATTTAAAAGCCCTTGATACAACATGATTTCCGTATTTATCTATCCACCCACAAAGCCATAACCTTATTAATTTAACTTCTACACATGTCTGCCTTATATATGAGGAGTCAACATAATCAACCATTCACTTTGGATAAAACCTTAATGAAGTTCAAGAAATCCACCAAGAAAGGATAGAATCCAATAAAAGCTAGTATAAAAAGTAAATATTGGAGAAGCTAGCATACTGGACCATATGATACGTGAAGACATAATTAAAAAAAAAAGAGAACAAACAAAAGATGTCACTAAGATTGCACCAATTTCTTGAGATTTCCACTATTGTCACAATGTCACCACAGACCCCTTGAAGATAGTCAATATGGAAATCATTCTATAAGAAGGGTTTGGAAACACAGTTTAATTAGTACTAGATCTCTATGCACAAGATGAGTGCCTCACATTTCAAAAAACATGTATGGCAGCTCGTTATATTAGAACTAAGGGTGTTTTAGGTATTATAGGTGGACAACAAACTCCTCAAGAATTGGCTTATATAATATAATAGAGATCATTAGCAGTATGTTGACATGATTCACTCTATTAGTCATAGAGTGAATTGTTCATTTGTTGAAAGGTGGCATTCTTCAAACATAAGATGCATGCTATTTTGTATGAATTAAATATTTGAATATAAGATGGTATACGGAGTAAAAGTTCAATATAACAAAAATGACCGCCTAAAACACAAGCATCTGGACACTGGACCAGTAAATTATTCTTAACCTAACCATGACAATCATGCCATGCATTTTGCATGCTTTCTTATCACCTGCGTGGACTGGAGGTCCCCTCAAATTATTGAATTACAAGCACTACCATTTTTTTTTTAATCGAAGAGTTCTCTAATTCTAATACGATGATTACTTCCAAAATATTGAAATATTGATACAGTATTCAGCTAACAAAACAAGGAAGAGTAAATGACACTAAATTGAGCATGTACCTGTATACCACAGAAGATTGCAGACTCCATGATATCTTTGCTGGTAGATGGATTAGCATTGGAATGAGTTGATCCACCAATCAAGAATTTTTGCAAGGTCCTGAAAGCAACTGCTGTCTCCGTGCTCCAAGGTGGCAGCCATTTAAATCCTGATACACAGACTAGACCGTCCTCAAAGTACTTCATCACATATTTCCCTGAAAACTCATCCTGGCTCACAGATGAATCAATGATGACAGAGCAAAATGCAATCAAATCCAGCTTCAATGACTTCAATGCAAGTGCATCATATACATTCGGGTAGAAATGTGAGCTCATCCCAACAACTAACTTCCTTTTCCCAACATCTTTTTCAGACACCAACTCGACAAAACCTAACAACCAATGAAGAACCAGTAACCGAAACACCAAAGGCTGCTGTCCGACCTTGGCAATCAACACCAGCCGCTTACATATCTCAGCCTCGTCCCCATCAAACGCATCCAAAAACCGTTTACAAAGCATCAAAACAACATGCCAAAGCAAGGGATCATAGTTATAAAGCAACCCAGTGAACTGAACCTTCAACAAAGAATTATGAAGCTCCAAACCAACTGCCAATGGCATCACCATAGACATGAACTCCACCATCCCACAACAAGTCAAAACCTGGGAATTCTCCAACAAAAACGACATCACCCGCTTCAACTCCTTCTCATTCGAACCCGACAATTCAACCCCAAAATGCATACCCTCCACATTATCCTCCCCATTATAGGCAGTCACCCATTGCGGAACATTAAAAGGAACTAAAGGAACAGCAGTACGAAAAATCGAAGCAACATTCAATTTACAAACAACAATGTCATGAATTACCTCTAAAAGCAATAAAAGATAACTCTGAGAAGCATGAGTTCGTTCATTCTGACAAAGCCCCCATAAATGCCCCACAATTTCTGCCAACAAACACGGAAATTCTCTCTCCAATTCCCTCAAACATTCACAAGCAATTGCCCTCGTTTGCCGATCAACCCCATGATTCGGCCGATTAATAATCGTCAATAGAATCGCAACCAACACCTCAATTTGAGTCATAAAAACCCTAACCCTAATTGAACAAATTCTCATCACAATCGAAGTAACAGAAACAAGCATCTGCTCCTTGAGCGAGTAATTGATCGAAACCCCATCAATTGGGGATTGAATTACAACTTTAAGGGCATCAATCAATCTCGAAAGAACTTGTTCTTCATCATCAGAAACAAAAATTTGATCGGCGAATTCGTCGAGGAAGATGAGAAGATGGAGTTTGAGGGAAAGAGGGAAATCCTTCTTGAGAAGAGAAGAGAGAGAAAAATCGAGGAGAGAAAGTGAGGAGATTGAAGAAGACCATCGATGAGAATTTCCATGGTGAAAGTCGTCGATGAGAGACTCCCATTCTTGAACTGTGAGATGGGTTTTCTTCGAAGGGAGCTTCTCCATTGAAGGTGGATTGATGGAAGATGATATTGACTATTGAAGAGCTGAATCCGCCATGAAAGTGGTGGTTTTGAGCTTCGTAGACTGAGCTGGTTCTTACAGTGTTTGGGAGATGACAAAGATTATTATCCGGTGTGAATGTGTGATTAGGGATGTCAGTGGGGCGGGTCTAATAGGAGACCCGCCCCATCCCCGCCCCAATGGGGCGGGGATGGGTCTAGTTTTGGCGGGTCGCGGGGCGGGGATGGGTCTAAAATCCATACCCGCCATGGGTGATGGGGCGGGGATGGTTTTTATGTAATACCCGCCCCGCCTAGACCCGCCCCGCCTAGACCCGCCCCGCCCCGCCTGACCCACCCCGTACCCGCCCCTCCCCGCCCCGCCCCACCCCAAACCCGCTTTATACCCGACCCATACATGCGTAAGATAAGTGATTAATGCGATAAAATCATAAAAAAAAAAAAAAATGTGCTAATTGTACTGACTTACCCAGCCTAGTAGCCCACTACCAGTGCCCACCCTCAAATGCCTCAATCCCTCATTCTCAAAAACAAAAACCCTAATTTCTCAGAATTCCTCTCACTCTCTCCTCTCAATCTACTTCCACGCATGGTCACACACTCACACCCCTCTCTTCGATTCTTCTTCTTCAACCTCGTGTGCAATCGGATCTTCGTCTTCAACCCGGTATATTTCTCGTCAATTTACTTGATAAATTTTTACGTTTTTGTTTGATCTACTTGAATTCAATTGTATTAACTTTGTTTCCCTTTTTTTTTTCACAGACCACTGTCATTAGCCATTTAGCCCTATTGAAATTACTCCTAAAACAGGTTTTTCTGATACATCTCGAAAGGTAAATGCATGTTGTTTCTATTAATTGTACTGCTAGTATGTGTGTGTGTATTTTTATTCATATTGTTGTATAAAGATTTAAAATTAGTAATTGATTTCCCATAATGTTTATGGTTTTACCTTTTGGCTATGAACGTTTGATGAAGTTCTTTTGTTATAAATCATATTTGTTCATAAACCTAATTTAGTCGGCAAAAGCCTATATTAACTAAAGTTGTCAGGTCCAGGAATCTCTATTGGGGTGACATTATTAATATAGGGATTAGGGAGTATCAAGTATGTGGGGAAACTTATTTCATAATCTAACAAAATTGTCAACTCCCTGGATGTCTTTTAACCATAAAATTATTTATTTCATAATCAAATTTGCATCATACATCAGCATTATATGTAACTTGGGACTACCATTTTCTGAATTGTAAATATGTATGACAGAAAATGCATACTTTCATAGTTTCATGACCATGCAATTCATTGCAAAATATAGGACATAAAATATTGATGCAATTTGCAATAATTCTCACTTCTTTAACACTAAGGTGCAGCAGAAGCTTATAGTAGTGAACAAAACTTCAAATGGTTTTTTATTTATTTATTTATTTATTTTTAAGTTTGGGCTCACCAATTATAGAAGCTGTGCTAGAAGCATGATCTGCCTGACTGCATGTGCTATTGTGCATTGCTATTATTATTGTTGTTTCTGAGATATTAAATGTGTTCAATACTGCAGTCAATATGTCTAGTGCATTAATTGTCTTTATTTAATTTTTATAGGGGAGAATGACATCAAAAAAATGAGAATAATGCTAGTGTTCCCACTTCAGCTAGTAATACTCCAATTGCATTAGATGATGATGATATTCCTCTGGAGACTAATTCCGATCCTTCTCTCCTACCAATTACTAGTAGGCATACTTCGGCAGTGTGGTCTGACTTTAAGAGAAAGAGAGTTGGTGATGTGATAAAAGCTGAGTGCAACCATTGCTCTAAGCTACTTGCTGGTGGGTCAAAAGCAGGAACTACTCATTTGAAAGATCATATAAAAATATGTCCAGAGAGAGTATGTCAAGATCTTCGACAAACAAGAATGTTTGGTACAAAAAAAAACTTGAATGATAAGAATGACACGATGACATTGGCTCCTTATGAATTCCACCAAGAAGATGGAAGAAGAGACTTGGCAGAGATGATTATTTTGCATGAGTATCCAATTAGCATGGTTGAGCATATTGGTTTTAGAAAATATAGCAAGACACTCCAACCTGGATTTAAAGTGTCGTCTCGCAACACAACTAGAAAAGATATTATGAAAAGATATGAGCTTGAGAAGGATAATGTTGCAACCTTGTTGAGGAAAGCAAAGGGTAAGATTGCCTTAACTACTGACATGTGGACAGCTGACAACCAGAGAAAAGGTAATATGGCGGTCACCTCACATTTTATTGATAATACATGGAAGTTGCAAAGTCGGATCATAAGGTATCGTTTTCTGGTTACTTATGATTTTTTTTTTTTTTTTTGGTTGTCTTTGTATTGCTATAGTTTTTTGTGTGAAATTTACAATTATAAGAATTATAAGTTATGATGATAGATGATAATAATGAGCCCATATATCCACAATAGTATTGAATAGACAAATAATATATGTTATTTTCATTGGTTTTGGTAGGTTTTTATATGTCCCCGCCCCTCATACTGCTGAGGTTCTTGCTGATGCTTTGAAAGAAAGCATTCAATCATGGAATCTTGATCTTAGGTTGTCTTCTATAACCGTGGATAATTGTTCAACTAATGATGCAATGATGGAAATTTTGAAAGGAGTGTTTCCATATGACTCACTTTTATTGCGAGGTGATTTTTTTCATATGCGTTGTTGTGCTCACATATTAAATTTGATTGTTCAAGATGGTTTAAGTGCTGTGGTATCAAATGGTGTTCAAAGAATCAGGGATAGTGTTGTGTTTTGGACTGCTTCTGATAAGAGAGTACAAAGGTTTGAACAAGTGGCTAAGCAAATAGCTCCTGAGTGTAGTAGAAAGTTAGCACTTGATTGCAAAACCCGATGGAATTCTACTTATGAAATGCTTTCTATTGCTACTAGTTATAAAGAAGTGTTTGTTGTTTTAAGTGCTCGTAATAATTTATATAAGAATCCACCGACCCCTGAAGATTGGGAAAAAGTTGAGAAAATATGTGAACATTTGGAAGTGTTTAGTATAACTACCCTTAATTTTTCAGGAACAAATTACCCTACGGCCAATCTTTATTTTCCTAAAATTTGTGCTTTGAGAATTGCTATTTCTGGTTGGCTTTTTATCTCCTCATGATTATGTAAGGAAAATGGCCGACATTATGTTACAAAAATATAACAAGTATTGGGCTAGTGTGAATGGTTTAATGGGAGTGGCAACAATACTAGATCCTAGATACAAAATGGCTCTTATTCGCTTTTATTTTGCAAAAAATTTTGAGGAGCATGACTTTGAAATTGAGGTTGGTAGAATTAGTGATCTTCTACGAAGATTGGTTGATGAGTATGGGTCTAAGATGGGTAAAACTCAAGGTAGTAGCAGCCAACAAGCTTTTGATTTGGATAGTAGTAGCAAATCCAATGAGGAGACCTTTATGCAAGAATTTGCAGAATTTTTGCAACAAGATAAGGACTCAAGTCATGAAATTTCAGAATTGGATAAGTATTTAGATGCTGCTAATGTGCCTCTAGTCCAAGATTTTGATATTCTTAACTGGTGGAAGACAAATGGAGGCACATATCCCATTCTTCAGCAAATAGCACGAGATATATTGAGCATTCCTGTTTCTACTGTTGCATCAGAGTCCGCATTTAGCACAAGTGGTCGGGTTCTTAGTCCTTATCGTAGTCGGCTTTTACCGGAAGCTGTCGAAGCTTTGATGTGTACTCAAAATTGGATATGGGCTGCTTTTAAAGGTAAATAGCTAATATAACATTTTATTTAATTAATAATATTATTTATTTATTTATTTTAATTAATTAACATTGTATTTGCAGATTGTGGAGATTTTAAGGATGATAAATATGCTAAATTAGTGGGAGAATTAGAGGAAGGATTTGAAACATGTGATATCGATTCTGGAACAAGTGGACTTTGCACCGAATAATTCAAGGCCTAATGAATTTCTTCTTATGTATTTGAATATTTGTAAACTTGTAGTATTTATAATATTTGTACTGTGGACAATTTGGAGTTACTGTTTTTTTTTCCTCTTATGTACTATTAATTTTTAGTTATATAATATGCAGGATTTTAATACTAAATTGACGGGTATGGGGCGGGGAATTAGCGGGGATGGGGCGGGGACGGGGCGGGGACGGGGATGGGGCGGGGGTGGTTTTGGAGTAGGACCCGCCGGGGCGGGGATGGGGATAATTTTTAGACCCGCGATGGGGATGGGGATGGGGATGGGGATGAAAATGTGAGGCGGGGATGGGGATGGGAATGCCAAAATCCGCCCCGCCCCGCCCCGTTGACATCCCTATGTGTGATTTCTCCCTCCAAAATGATACTCACTTCTTCCGTTTTTATTTGGCTGACACGTTTCATTTAGAGCTTTCCCAATGGTGATAAAATTCGTTGCATGAAGAAATATTTTGGGGTAAATTTTATCCCAATGGTAATTTTTTTACCAAAAACTTCATGAACTTTTGTAAAAAAGTTCACACTGTGAACTTATTCACAAAAATATTCACGCGGCCCCAATCTCTCTAATTCTTACGTTTATGTCTTTTTTTTCCTTTTTTTTCTTTTTTTTTTTAATAAATTATGTTAGAGAGAGAAAGAAAGAAAGATGGGTATGGTTAAAAGTAAGAGAGAGATTGGTAAGAGAGTTTTTGGTTTTTTCATTGATGGGATAAAAAAAATTTCCTCACAAAAAATCTGATGTGGAGGAGAGGGAAAGTTAGAGAGAGAGTGGTGAGGAATTTTATTTTTCTTCACCATTGTGCATGCTCTTAGGCACACGTGTTAAATCAATACTAATATACTAAAATAATCCGACACGTTCCATTTAGACACACGTGTTAAATCAATACGAATATACTAAAACAATCCTAAGTCTTATCCCCAAAGTACAGGTGTTGTGTTTCTATTAGAAAATTTCCTGCCAAAACCTTTTTTTCATTTTTTTGTTCATAAAAACTAAGAACATAGGTGATTAAAAAAAAAGGATATGCAATCCAAAAATAGAGCAATAATAACAACTTAAATAAATAAAATATTTTTTTTTGTATATTCCCTTAAATCTTTAATCGTTACCATATAAAATGTATTATTCGTTTTCTACTTTAAACAAGGATTTTAACTCAGTTTCAAATTCATAAGATGTAAAAAAAAAAACTAAAATTAGAGATAAGTACTATATACATTACTATATCTAATCTATAATAATTTGATTATAGTAATTTATAAAAATAATTTTTTTCTTGTGAATATCCGAGCAACGCTCAGGCAAAGAATTAGTTAATAATCTATAATACACCCGGTTGCACCATGTCCATGGTACATTCGGAAAAAATATTAGACAATTTTTCATGGGCGAAAAAAAAACATTATAGATATTTATAAAGAACGCGAGCATAATATATTCTTTGAGTTTGATCATTATATTATTTGAGTTGGAAATATACGTTCTTTACATTATATTGTATGCTCTTTAATGTATGTACACAAAAAAAATTAAATTCAACGATCTAAATAACCAAACTAACAAATTTCAATTCTTTTTGAATAACCATAGAGGACCAAGTTTAAAAACTAGCAAATTTCAAACCTATATCAATATAACTCACAAAAGGTGCTATATATAAACGTACTTCATAATATCATAAATACAGAAATTTGTAAAATTTCTTTATTTTTTCTAGTTTAATCTTACTATTGTCAAACCATGAATTTTAATATAGAAAAAGAAAGATAATAGTGTTTGACTAATAACGTAGACACAAAGTAAACAAGTAAAGGGGTTTTAATAACTTTAAAAACAAAAATTTAAATTCAACAAACTAATTGCAATTCATTAAAAATAATTTTAGTTATTAATAGATATAATATTAAACATTAGAAAAAGATATACAAGTATGATCAAGAGTTGCTTTCTTAGTCTAGCTAAGACAACGCCATGATAAATGTGGCATGAAGGATCGATCATGATAGAAATATTGTGTAATGTTTAAGTTACAACAAGTGAATTTTTATACCATGTTATTATATGTTATTTTTGAAGTAATACTTGTACGCATCATCCTTTGTTAATACTTGTCGTTTGATTCAACAAAGATTTACTCGATTTCGGGCGGACAATCATTTAACAGTAGAAGGATAATGGAAAACGATAACCAGACAAAAAATCAATAGTCAACGTAAGAGTGAGTTTTAAATTGATTATATATCTTTGAAATACATGAAGTCTTATCTATAATTTTGTTATCATATCGACCTAATTATTTCGATAATATAATTATAAATTATTACATGTATATGTATTACCTTGCATAATGGTAGTAATATATATATTTTTTTTATAATATTTTTGTATCCGCAATTTAAAAAGAGAAAGTGATAACTTGTTTCAATTGAATTATCTGAAACCATAAAGAGGCCCTCCATTATATAGAGTTATTGTGGGGGTGGAAGAGAGTATATTTGTATCTCACGTTTTTAAGGTTTTTAGCGTACACTTGTGATTTTATTTTATTGATTATGAAATCACTAGATAGTTAAATCTTGGTACATAACTTGTATAGAATGTTCTTGCACCATATAGGTTTTTTTTTTTATTGTCCATACATAATTATCAAGGCGGAGTAGCTAGTACCCTCGATTAATTTATTTATTTATTATTTTTTTTACCAATGAGGTTTTAGTCAAGTTTGTAAGATAGGTCACATGTTTAAATCCACCCTATTTTGACTAAACCAAGAGGAAATAATCAATTAGAAACATATTTTGTATTTCATGTATTTGAGTTGGTTCCACGAGTTTCAAGTTATGCGATACTCACTTTTTTCAAGTTTCCAGCGGTAAACCAATTTTTACTTTTACTATGTAGTTTATGTCACTTCCATGTTCAACCAGGCGTACTTTTTGGATAGTCCTCGAGTATTTCTTTGAAACCTTTGAAAGAGTCTATAACTCCCTATATGGGATAATTGGTCTTTTTCCTCCTATTTATGAAATAAAATTTTGATGGCTTATTCATTTAATCCAGTAATAATTTTCCATTAGCAAACATAACATAAGATATTATTACATCCATGCACTCATTAGAATAAGGCTTTTAATCTTGACATGTATATACCCTTGAGGAGAGGCTATTCTTCCTTGTAAATTTGTAATGGTTATTACTATCCCTTTATTTTAACTTTAAACCTACATTTATTGAAAGTGATAACCTTGTATTTGTTAGTATTGTTACTATTTTATAGAGATAAGCTAATTGCCCTTAAAAGATTCTCAAGTCTCGCAAAATCTTACATGAGACCTGCCTACTTATTTGGTGTCTACAAGACTACAAGTGGTCGGAAAGAGATGTTAAAGGTGGTGGTGACTATAACAAGGGTGAAAGGAGCTATTCAGTGGCTAGATGGTTGGATCCAGTACGGCTACAGACACTCAACATTCATTATATCTTTTTAAGTCCGGTTAATGTCCTATTGCAGTACGCAGCTAACATTCAATTTATTTTTTATTTTTTTGTAATTTTTTTTTCTGGCTTAATTTCCTTTTATTTATTCATTTTTCACTTAATGTTCTATTGCGGTGCGTAGATGTGTCTTGATTTTTATTTTATTTTATTTTATTTTTTTAAGTTTTAAAACCTTGATAAAAGTTTTGTGTGCCCTACCACTTCAGCCACTGGCTACAGAAAAGGATTTTAACACATAAAACAGGAATGACGTATGTGCCAAACCCTTCGACTGTCAAATCCAAACACACTGCAAAAGATTAAAGACATTTAAAACTTCAGAAGCCAGGTCCTGATTTACTTGCTAGAAAGCAACCCTGGAAAACATGCAATTGATTGAAAGCAGTGTTTCGCCAAACCATACATATTAAAAATAAACCAAACATGCTGCCAAAACTAAATTAAAAACAGCGACACCAGATTGTAATACAATAATACAGCAAATATCAAGATTACATTATTGAACAGAAATTACTCAGAGGTCCGATGTTGCATTCACAATAAGGTTGAACAGCAAATCTTTTCACCAATCAGCTCAAGCTCTTAACTTAGCTGCCCTGAAATCAAACAAATATGAGAAGCAGGTGAGATTCATTTCCTTCAGACAGAAAAAAGGCACACCTTCACTTCACTATATGTGGATCCTTAGAGCTGCTAAAAAATCATGGTATCTCAATTACTTCATTTTATGATCTATGGGCAGCTTACTAATTTCTATATTCACCCTACAAAATCAGCAGTGCAGCACTCTGATTCCATTTCTAAATCAGCTAATACTAGATCATAATTAGAACTAAATAGAGAACAACATCCAGCAATAAGGCTGAGTTGAAGAAGATGACGGGTTCCAAAATCTGCAATTACAACCTTTCCCCAATTAACCTTCTAATATGGTGTGGATAGAATACAACAATCAGAGTATACAATATGTGCTTCATAAATCAAAC